TAAAGCCTAAATATTCTTTGGACAGTTGTGGACATGTGGACGTGGACATGGGCAAAAAAGTCTTGGACATAGTAGATATGACAACACTGATAATTATTACCAGAGTGCTTATATCTCAAAATGTACTAAGTAAACAGGATCAGATACTCTAAGTAAAAATGTTCAAGATCTCCAAAAACTCAAAATTAAGCTTTATATCTAATATATATATTATATTATATAAAAAAACAAATATATCTTGATTATTACTAGTTATTTATATTATATTTATTTAATATCTATAAATAAAAATATTTTATTAGTTCAAAATTGTGAGCAGAGCACTAGTATTATATAAAACTGTAAAATAATTTGAAAGTTAATATATATAAACTTCATTTTTTTATTATTTTAGTTTATTTTGTTTATATTTTGGTTTTTTTCTTTTGGGTTTTATTCGTCTTTGAATAGACTAAGGTTCCAGATTGGGATATAATTAAATTTCTTAATAAATATAGTTTAGAGTCTTATATGAAAAAACAGAATATTATCCAACATCAAAGAATAAAAATGATTGAAGTTATAACAAAGTACAAGAACTTCTAAAGTGCTACAGACAAAAAAGTACTAAAGCTTTCATGTATTAAGAATAAGTAGCATGTAGGAATCTTTGAGATACCTATTATTCAAGTCTTTGGGACAAGCTACAAAAAACAGTATTGAAGTGTAGGTGCCTTTGGGGTTGCCTAATGTTTAAAAATATTTGAAACACTAACACTATTAACTATAAATGTTTTCAGAGTTGTTTATAGCAAAATGAACATTATATAGCAAATGAAAAATATAATAGTTAAGAATACTACTAATTTTACAAGCTTATTGTCTTAGAGTAGTTATTTTGACAAAATAAGTACAAAAAACTGCTATTTATATATGCAGATTTATATACATAGCCCAATTGTAAATGAAGTGCTAAAAACAGAAATAAAGATAAGCATGCTTTAACTATAAATATTAATTTGCATTTTTTGTTAATGAATTATAATTTTAATATTAGGATAATGACAAAAGTTTAAAGTGGACAAAAATCAATTTCAAATAGTATTGGAGAGGTTATTGGAAATGTATTTAAGCAAGATAACAAAAGGTTGAATAAGAACTGAAAAGGTGAAAGTATAACTTTAGTATAACTTTAATTTTTCCATTTTTTATTGTAATAATTTCTAAAAGAATCATTCGATTTATAGCCATGTGGTTAACTCTTTCAAACCTTTAAAAACTATTACCCAAAAATATGCCAGGTGTTGAAGAGTTGAAAACTTTTGAATTACTTGTATATAATATGTAATAATTTGGTTTATTAATTTCTTATATAATATTTATTAATCTCAATATGATTTTAATAATATAGAAAAGAAGTTTTTTCTTTATTCAATGCATTATGTGAATGGAATGTAATTTATTTTATTGATCAGTATGTGGATTCACAATTCTCAATACACTATTACAGCTGAGAAATATATCCAATATTATTTAAGATATTTAAAGAGGTTTATTTATTATTATTATTGTTTAGTATTAACTCTTTACTATATATTTTCTAGAATTATGTTATAAAACTTCATTGCATAAATCCAAAACCTGCAAGCAAATAATAGCAATTCAACTATTCTTGCATCTACAATACCCTACTATATTATTATAAACACTTTTTAAAAAGTTGTACAAAGCTAAATATGTAAGATATTAAGCTGAAAATTAAATTATAAATTCTTTAAATCTATATCTTCTAAAGAAAAAAAAATTTGCAAATTCTATGTAGTAGTTTTTAAGTTAATTAAGATTACACAATTTTGTATAATATTACACTTGTATAAAATTAATAATTTAAAAATTAATTATCATAATTACTATATATTAAAACAAAATTTTTATTAAAATAAAATTAACAAATTACCAAATATAGTAATTTGATTACTATATATAGTAATTTACTAAATATTTTTTAAAAAATTATGATATATACAATTTGTTATGCTAAATAACTTTATTAAAAAAAAATTGCTAGTATACTTGCTAAAAAATTAAGTCTTATATATACTAAAAATTAATATTTAAATTTATACTAAACCTATATTAAAAACTAGAAATCATACAAATAAAAAAATCTAAACTTAATTATTTCAAAAAGTACTGCATAGAATTTTATAATTTTTTTTTATTTGAAAGCTTTAGATTTAAGTAATATGTTGTATATTTTTTAGCTTTATAACTTATTTATTTAGCTCAATATAAAATTTCAAAAAGTGTCTGTAATAATATGGTAAGTCACTGTATCAATTATGTAATATTAATTTTGAATCATTACCTTTGTATAACTTAAAATTTTTATTATAATAATCCGATTCTAATATACACCATAACTCCATGCATTGTTTAGCTTATTCAATATAGCAATTAGGAGTTTCGAGAGCAAATTCAGGCCTCAATCCACTATAAATATTTACTGCAAGATCAATATCAAATTTATAACCATCAAAAGATCTTTGTCCAGTTAATATCTCTGACATGATGACTCCGAAGCCATAAATATTAGCAGCTTGTGTAAATTTTCGATCTGATAAAACCCCTGGAGCAACATAAGGCAGGGTTGTGAATAGACAGCCATTAGACACTATTAGACATATAAAAAACTATCAATAGACATATATTTGTCTAATGATTTTTCCCATTTGACTATGTAAGCTCACAAACCCTGCATAAGGTATGACACCACTCCATAAATATTACCTGAATCATTTTTATCATTATTTTAGAAAATCCTAAATCTGAGATGTAACTAATGCCTCTGTCTTGCAAAATATTACCACTGTGAAAGTCAGCATGAGTACATCCCGCATCATAAATTTCAAAGAGGTTCTCAGAAATATCTAGTAGTAGTTTTAATTTAGTCTGCCAGGTTAGATTTTGAAGTTTTGCTTTTAAATACTGATGAAGATCTCCATTATCAGCATATTGAAATACTATAAAATATTGATTTGTTTTTGTGTTTTGAGTTAATCCATATATTTTAAGATTACTATGCATTTCATATGATTGTCAAACTTTATAAACGAATTATTTCAATATGTGTTTAATAAATTTTACAATAATAACGAAATAACTTACTTTCAAAAAATTAAAAGAATTGTCTGACAAAGCCTTAAGTGCAACGATGCTAGATGACTCACGCATTCTTATCCAACTTTTATACAATCAATGTTTCTCATGTCATCCAACCAGGTTGCAGAAAATACCGTGCTTTACCTATTTCATTAATTAAAATTAATCTATCAATGAATCCATTCATAAATACACTTATTATTTAAAATAAATAAGTTAATCAACTTGTAAAGTTAGTATTTATGATATTTTTACTATCAAGCGAATTAAAGTGCTTTCAAGGCTCTCTTAATATAATTTGCCAATAATATAACCAATTAGAACAACTTTACAAAATATAGGTAATCCTACAACAAACATTTTTTTGATTTAGGCTGTTCTTTCGATGTAATCAAGATTAGTGTTGTTCCTGAACATGGACATGAACATGGATATAGAGAGACTACAGAGTGTCCAATGCCCATGTGCATGGACATGGACTGCCTATGTCCACATGTTCATGGACAGGTGTCCGGAACAACACTGATCAAGATACTGCTCAATTATTTCAAAAATTCATTGTGTAAAATGCAGAATTTAAAAGTTAACAATCAGAGTAACTATATACATATATATATAAAAGAAGGTTGATAGATCCAGATTTTTTTAACCGAAATGATTAATCAAGGTCTATTTTTTTGCAATCAGATTATTTACGCATAAGCTATAAAAAGAATGCTTGAGAAGAGAACAAGGACGATGCAAAAATGGTTTAATTGCGACTTTCTTTTGGTAAAAAAATAAGCAATATGTTCACATGTATACAAAAAATAATGAATCAAATAATACTAGCACAAATAAATTTGGGAGGACCATAAAATAAACACCAAACAATTACTTATAAGCATTAATACAAGGATTTATTTTTTTTCTATAAATTATAATATGAAATCGATAAAAATTTAAGGGAATCACATAAAAACTACACTACAACTGATGCGTAACATACCAGTATAATATTGTACAATATTACACTCCTATTTAATTCTCTTTAAACATTCAAGCATCTAATTATTAATTTAATTACAAAAAAGTATAATAACAGAATAAACATTCTCTTTTGATAAAAAAAAAATGGAACATTTTTGATATTAAAAAATAAATGAAATTATCTAATATAAGAATGATAAGCGTATCTGCATGACACAAAGTCATTACAAATTTTAAAAAATTTACTACCATGAGCTATGTGAACTATTACTTTTTTATGCTTATAAATAATAGGAGAAGAATCTAATGAATAAGTATTACCACTAATATGAATCGAATTTAAACTTCTTGAAATTTGAGGAATATGAACAATTGTTGCATCTGAACTTTGAATTATAGATCGTTGAGAATTAGTGGTGGTGTTGGGTGCAACATGTGGATTTTTAGGGTCAATTAGAAATTTACGAGGATCCGGAAGATCTGGATCAATGACATTTGGTTCTGATTCATCAGTCCGACGAGTTATAGGATTTTGGTTAGATTCAGTAGGAAGTTTATTTGAATCTAATTGTGAATTTACGGTAGCTTGCTCAAATTCAGAGTTATTGTCAGTTCCGTCGGAGGTTGGATTTTGGGAAAGTTTATAAAGTTCACCAGAACTGGGAAGGTCTTCAAACTTTATTTCAGTAACATTTGAAGGAGGTTGAACATTAGAATCAGGCTCTTTTTGAGTTTCAGGAGATAAGGGAACTGTTAAAACATGCAGTGAGAAGATAGAAAAGAATAGTATGAATGAGATTAAGATAGATTTATTAGATGTCATTTTTAAAATTTCAAAAGATTAGATGGATGAATGATTATTGCTAAGAATAAATATTAAGAGAATGAGATTCTTAGACTTTTAGACATAAAGCATATGGATATGGCATATAAATACTTTTCCATTGTACGAAAAATACTATTTTTTAGACTATTTTTTTCAGAATATCATTAATTCGGTTAGTTATCAATCCTGTAAAGTCAGATAAGACTAGAGATATATTATATCTGATATATCTTTAAAAATTCGGTTAGGTTTTGCTCTAAATAAACAATTACGTTTTTTGATAACGTATATCTTATATACTCTATATTCTAAAGGTAAATACAAAAATATCTTGAATATTAATGTTCTATGATCCGAAAATTTTATTGATTATTCGGATTGCAAAAACAAGTGGCTTCTAAGTATCAGACGGAAAATTTCTTATCTCAAAGATCTAATTGATAGATTGGTAATTTTATCATTTATTCTAGTGATTTATAGAATCATTTACAAATTTTTCTTATTATCATTCTATCAGTTTTAGTACGCTCAGCTATCCCAGTAGGGTCCCTGCTGTAATTGTTGTGATTAAGTTATTACTGGCACGATTTAATATTGATAAACTTTACTCAACGTACCCAGCTATTGATCATAACAGGTACATATCTGTATGGATTAAGCAATTGGTCTTGAAAAACATTTGCGACTCTAACACTCACTTGACTCGTATTTCTGTGCATGTATACATCATTCATATATTTGTTTTGTTTTAACAAAAACGATTATACTGTATATATGAATATGAAAGATTCAATATTAGCGAAGATGTATTAAGTTCGTATTAGGCTAAAGCAGAATAATAAATTGCGTCATTTTTTTCAATTAGGTGATTTATTATTTGTTACATTTCATGCTATACATTGTCCTTACATCTGTAGTAATGATTGTACTAGTAATCAGCGTTGACAATAATATTTCAATGGAAATTTTTAGAAAATACTGAGCACATCCACAATATGTGCGTATATGAGAAAATAGAAAGGGAATATAAGCATTCAGCGTAGTTTAATATGAAATAAGACCTAAAAAAAAAATACTGAGACAAATTTAATGGTCCTTTGAAGGCCACACAAAGTTAATTTTTCTTTTTGCATTATCCGCCAACCAAAATTTTTTATTTTATTTTATATTTATTTTTAGAATAATATTAAGAATCTCAAAAAATCGATATTGTAAATGATGCCTAAACCTGGATTGCATTAAGCCAAAGAAATATCGGAGCATTGAGAATTTGTCCTTTTCCTCCAGATCCTTGGTATTCTTGAAAATATGGTTTCTGATAATTAATTATCTATGATAAGGATATTTGGATTTCTTTAGTTTTGTCATATTAAATAATGCTAGTTGTACTAGTACTCGAGTTGGTAAATTTAGATACTGAGTTATTAATTCTCTTATATGTTGTAGGTAGATGGTCAACGAACATAAAACACGAACATGGTCGCTGGGAATTTTCGGGAAGTACAGTAATTACCGGCAAGTTACTGAAGGGTTCGCTTACAATAAAAATTTACAAATTACAGCAGTTTTGCAACCTTGATTTTGAGCAAGCAGAATGTATTTTCTGGCTATAAAGTTCATAAATTATAATCTGATTAATAGCAAAAAAAAAAAAATCCTACCGTCAACCGAAAATTTTGAAATTCGAGTAATGCAAAGCAAAAAGTCAACCTTACGTGGCCTAATCGTTTACTAGCTTCCGTCAAAGTAAAGCAAATGTTATATTAGAGACAACACCTTCCTACACGATATTTAAGAATCCTATCCCACGCGTCATGATTGGCACGATACTGCGATACTACGTATAAAGCGATTATGTACAAATAAGGATAACTATATAGGGTTTACATTAATTGAAGCGGAGAATACGTACGTACGTACGTCGACATTGATAATGATTTTGAAAATCCAAATAACGATAAAAGAGTGAAGTACTTGACAATTATTTTTTCTAAACAATCAATGAAAAATTTTGACCAATAAGAATGATAAATACCCTTGGTCGATTAAACGAACTTCCACTAATAAAATTTTCGTTACGTATTTTATTCATTGGCAAAATCTTACCCTCAGACTAGAGGTTGGAACGTAATAAACGGCACTCCCCTAAGTATGAGGTAATTGAAGTTAATACGAAATAATTGAGTAAATATGGATCATAGTATAAGTGAAATTGATGAGTCAATTTTTGTCTTTCTGCAACCCGACTTTCGTTCTGGCTATATTTAACTTGTCTGGTGTGATGAAATTGTGGCCTGTCGGGACATGTAAGAGTAGCTTGTTGGGATGACAACTAATGTGATGTAAATGTGATACTTTTAAAAATAAAAGCAAAGCTAACCGATGCTCGGCAAGACTCAGGGACAATACCCGTAATGTTCTTTATAGTATACAAACCAATAAAAAATTGCAAGTTAAAAAGTTGAAGTTTTTTTGATAATATTTTTTTTTATTTTATATCAGTTAACATCATTTAAATTTATTAAATCGCACTTTGAATATTTTATATAATTATACTGTATACCGAAATAGTGGTGGCGCAAAAATTTGACGGTCCCGTGACTAATTCAATAACAATGATATCCTAATTTTCGTCTAAAAATTAATGTTCTGCATCATATGGGCGGAAATTTTTAGTAGAGTGCTGTGACTATATAAAATTAGGTGATTATACTCATAAAAACTGATAAGTAACGGATCAATTTTG